GGGGGGCCAAAAAAGGGGGGGGGGGGGGGGAGGGGCACATGCCTTCCCCCTGCACCCCAACATCACTTGTGCCCACATGCCCCCTTCCTCACACACCCAACCCCTTCCCCACATACGTAGCCCTTTCCTCACATACTGGGCGGTTGGGGGTGAGGGCTGTGGGTCAGGAATGAGGGGCACTGCCAGGGCTGGGGAGGCCAGGGGGCTATGGTTTAGGGGAGGGGCACTGGTAGGGTTGGGAGAGTTGTGGGTTGGGAGTGACGGTACTGGCACATCAGGGCTGCTTAGCACCTCCAATGCAGTAGTTGGACAGCCACAGCTGGACGTCTGTCCTGGTGAGCAAAGGGAGCAGGGGGAACGCTGACTTTCTATGACAAAAACACCCCAAAACTTATAGGCATTTAGAATTTATTATAGTGATTGAGGCTTCCATATTGCTTTAACATTGTAAATATATTTATAAAACATTGTGTTCAGCTTATATGTATATCTTTGAAATGAAACTCCACTAATCGCATAAAAACACAGATTTTGGGGGTTTTTTTAATCAGAGAATTTGGGATTTAAAAGAAAAAACAAAAAACTCGAGGATCCCTGCTGATAATTAAGCCAGCATTCTAGGTGGTTTTGCATATATATGCGTTTGGTGCCTGAATAGTGATACACTGAAAGAAGAATGAGCGCATAATCAAAAATAATCAAACTAAGAGCTTGACATCCATATCACTTACTGCTTAAAAGAACAAAAACATTGTATTAACACCAGAGATCCAGCTCTCCACATCTGGCGCATCAATGCTTGTATTCTTGAGATTTAAATTTATGTTCCACAAATTTTACATAGGTAAGTTATCTCATATCGAATAGTTTGTAGTAATTGTTCTTGTCTTTATACATATGACTAATAGCTCTTTTCATTTGTAATTTTTAAATGTTAATTTTATTACTAGTTGATATATTTCCTTCACGTAAGTAACATATACCCAGTTACCAATTCTCTTAAATAGAATGGACTTTCTGTTACAGGTAATCGTATCTGGGGGAAAGACTTGAAAGGTACACAGCTGAGCCACGTAGCATGGTCCTCTGATAGCAAAGTTTTACTCTTTGGAATGGCAAATGGAGAAATTCACATTTATGACAATCAGGGGAATTTTATAGTAAGTTCAGAGCTATATGCATTGAGTCCGTGTTAACTATTATTTTTAATGTAAAAGTTAGTTTTCCTAACTTTCAAAGAAAATTTTATATATATTATATAAAATGTAAATATTACACAAAATATATAATACAGCAAAAAATGCGTTATCCGGCACCTTACAAACCGGCATGCTCTATTAATTGGCATGCTGGTCGACACGGCAAAAGCAAAACCGGAAGTGCCCACTGTGGCACTTCTGGTTTCACCAGGTCCCTATGGCCCGGGGCAAAGCAGCCTGCACTGCCGAGCCCCCTCCTTGTTCCCCGGCATACTGACATGGCGGGAGGGGTGGCGGCCCAAAATGGCAAAGATACCAGTTTGGGCCTCTTGGGTAATCAGCATATTTGGTTATCCGGCACCCCCCCCATTCTCTATGGGTGCCGGATAACAAAGGTTTTGCTGTATATAATATACGTAATAGGTACATTTATATAAACATACGTAATATATTATATGTACTATCTATGTATACACATGTATGTACATGTACATACATATAGCAAGTTTGCTAAGGTAAATACCATATTTTCTTATATACAATGCACCCCAGAATAAAAGATGAACCTTGTGGTTGAAAGACAGAAAGATCTTTTCTTGTAGCAAGTAACTGAGTAACAGCAGCTAGGGAGCCAAGCCTGCTCCTTGTTCTTATCCCCCATGACTAAGGCTGTGCAAATTTTACTTTCAGTTTTTGTCTGGTAAGCAGAAGAAACTGCTTTTACCATATTTCTTGCATTTAATGTGCACTAAGATTAAAATTTCTACTTGCTAGTTCCAGCAGCATGAGAGAGTGTGGTATTCAGAAAACATTTAGGCATATAGGCATTTGTACATATGCTTGTGCTGCAGTGCCAGGCACTTTTAAGAGTGCCTGGTGCTATGGCACATGCAGTTGTATAAAGTGGTGGTGGCATCTTAAAGGTGTTTTAGTTCAAAAGTGCACCACCACCATTTTCTGCGTACTGATGCTCATTTTGCCACTTAAACAACTGTACGCAGTGTGGTGCAGTGTGCGTCAGCTTGTGTGTGGAGCAGACTTGATTAATCGAGTCTGCTCTGACCTGCTGGATCTCGAAAAGGTATGTGTATAACTGCCCATAGTACCTGTTTCATCATTCTGGGCAGCTAAGTAAATATAGCATCAGTGCATTCTTTGGTTTGCAATTCATTATGTAAAAAAAACCTGAAAATTGTTTATGCACATGCTAGGTAAATCGCATGAATTTCACCAATACAATATATGTTGTGCAATAATATCGGGTAAATGGGCTGTAACAGGGGGCCTGCTCCGGGGCTGATCTCAGTGCAGCCCGTCCACTTGTTCCTGGGCTAACCTCCCGCGTTCTTGCCCACCACGCCTTGTTGTTAAAGATGTAATTAAGCTGGAGGCTGCCCATTTCCTGTCCCGATGCCAGGGGGCACTATCTGCGGCTCCATTCCTCCCCTACACTGCAGCCCAAGCCTTGCTGATGGCAGAATCCTACTAATTGAACCCCGCCTGGATTCCTCTCTTCAGGCGGCCTCTTCCACCTTCATACTAGGCAGCATAGCTCCCTGAACCACTTCCCCTTCGGGTGTGGTTCCCCCGGGACCTTTGGCTCGCTAGCCCTGACCCACCTCCAGGCCAGTAGGATCCCCAGGCCCTCGGCTCTTGGGCATTCCTCGTGGTGGGCCCCTGGCCCTTCGACCCTTCTGGTCCTGGCCCCAGCATGGACCAGTCAGGGGAAGTTCAGACAGGTGTGAGTCTATGGCCTCACCCTTTCTCTATGGGGTCCACCTTCCAGACCCTCAAACAAGGGGTAATCCACCCAGTGGTGGGGGCTAGGGGTTAAGGCACCCTAACCCACCTTTCACCAGGGTGGAAACTGGCCTGGCATTTCCTAGGGGCTCCCATGCCACTGAGAGCCTCACCAGACCACCCACTCCCGGCAGGGTGCAGTTTTAGGTCTTACCCAGGACCAGGAACCTCCTGACCATCCCCTACAGCACCTCCCTTACCTCCAGATGATACCAGCAGGCCTCCAGCCAGGCAGTGTTGGTGCCTGGCCTCCAGTAGCAGAACTGCTCTGTTTATAAGGGCAGCCCCAGATTCAGAATGGCTGCCCTCATCAAGCACCTGGCAGCTGTCAGCTCCAGGCCCTTAAAGTGGCAGGCACCTGCAGTGCCCTGCCATACGGGGGATCAAACTCACCCTGCCCAATTTTGGTCTGGTGGGTGCTGTATGTAGTGTGTAGGGTGGTTCAGCCCTGCATGTTGCAGGCAGCATGTTCTTGTCCTGCTCTAGGGGGTCACTGTGCATGGGGTGCTCACTGCTTGGCGTGCCCTACTGCACTGGCCCTGTGTGCTGGCTCCAGGGCTGGTCCAGATCAAATCCCAGACTGCCCTCGTTCATTGGAGCCAACACGCAGGGCTGGTTTGGTGGAGAACCGCATGCAGCATGTGCCCAGTGCTGGCCCGATGCACCACATGCAGAGTGAGCCTTGAGCAGGGCCAGTGTGTTTTTTGCATCCAGCGTGTGGGGTTGGACTGGCTGTGAGTACTGTACGTGGCACAGGGGATTGGCATGGGTTGTGGGCTGCATGCAGTGCCCTACTGGACTGCTCCTGGAGACCCTACACAGGGCTGGTTCGGCATGGGTGCTGCATGCAGCTTCTGCCCTGGATTGACCCCCTGTGCCACTTGCAGTGCCCATGTTGCTGGGTCTAGTCCATGCGCCAAACTGCCTTGATGTACAGGGTCAGTCCAAGACCCGCAGGCTGGCTCATAGGTCTCCACAGACTGGATCTGGTCCATGAGGTGAATGTTTGACACTCCTGGCATAAACCAACAGTTTCCTATCACATTATTTGGCAGGGAGACAGTGAATTAAGATCTTAGATGTTTAAAAGAAAATCTCTGTAGCAGGTCCTTGAATAAAGATAAATGGCTTTAATATTATTTTATATTTCTAATGGTTGGTGTAGAACGTAATGTCCTGCAAGTATTTGAGTGGGCCAGGGAGGTTATATGGGCTGTACCATGACACACCTGTCTGATTTAAAGGATGAAGCAAAGCTTTATTGGCTACACACAGAGCTAAAGCAGCAATGCTGCATGCATTAAGGTGAATCTCACTATGCTGCAATAATTTTGGGTGGATGAAATGAGAGTGCTGGAACAGTAGGCCATGCTGGGGGGAGAATCCTAGGTCACCATGTCTGCATTAGTCATGTGTTGTATTTGTCATTTATGTTGAAGTTCCAGTTATTTGGAATACAGGAATAACTGTGATGTGTAGTATTACATATTTTGGCAATGACAATGTAAAGTAAAATCTTTTAAATTGGCTCCCTAGATGGACAGAGAATTGCCTAAATTAATAGAATGTATGAATTAAAAGAAGAAGCCATTTTAAGATTAGTTTAAAAAGATTTGTAGACAGGAAATTATATTCCCCTAATTTATATGTCCTGAAATTGTTGGTAAACAAGAGCTAGTTAAAAAAAACCCAAACCAGAAAACCTATCATTATAACATTAAATTTAAATGCTTTTAACATTTTTAAATGCCTTTTTTTAGTAATTGAGCGAATTCAGAGTAAATGCAAAATGTTTTGATTGACCTGAACTTAATTTTATTGGCATAATACTTTGTGAAAATTTTCAAAATTTTGACTGTCTACTTTGATTGGGAACATTTTTTCAAATCTCATCATTTTTTTTTTTCTTGGGTGGAAGAAAAATCATTTGGGTAGGAAAAACATTTCCTACCCCACTCTAATCTTTTGTAAGGTTATGGTATAAATGTGCATTGCAATTAGAACCATTTTGATTAAATATATGATAGATAATGATTAAAGGTTTTTTTTGTCTAGATGAAAATGAAACTGAATTGCTTGGTGAATGTAACTGGAGCATTTAGTATTGCTGGAATACATTGGTACCATGGTGCAGAAGGGTACATTGAGCCGGATTGCCCTTGCCTTGCTATTTGTTTTGACAATGGAAGATGCCAGATAATGAGACACGAGAATGACCAAAGTGAGTACACCTTACTTTTTATCTGATGCAGGCAAGGTCTAACACTCAACTGAAAGGTATTTCTGTGTTTGTAACATGTTTACTTTTGGCTGCTGCATTCAGTCAATTCCAGAATTTCAGAGAGAGTTTCCTAGAATGGGTGGGAGCCAAGTGATTTTGGTGAAACCTGGGAATTGAGAAAGGCAATAGAGGACATGGAGAGCCCCAGCACCTTTATAGGGGGGGATGGAATGGAGCATCTTGCTTGTCTGTAAGTTGCTTGGTGTGCAGAAACAACTTTATTTCAGCACCTCTGATAACATCTGAAATTACATAGGATTAGGTATATTTAAAACATGAACTGATGCTGTTTTTGCTAAAGCCTTGGAAACTGATCGTTGAACCATTCCTGACCCAATATTGCTAATATTCAACTTCTTATTTCTAAAAAATAGACCCTGTTTTGATTGACACTGGTATGAATGTGGTTTGTATCCAGTGGAATCATTGTGGAAGTGTGTTGGCTGTGGCAGGCTCCCAAAAAACAACTACCCAAGAGAAAGATATCAATATTGTTCAGTTCTACACTCCATTTGGTGAGGTAAAAATACATTGCAACTTGTCTAAAAAGCTCAAATTAAGATGTTTATTTTGCTTGTCTAGTGATTGCTGTAATTATGATCAGAATAGCCATAGTGTTCTGTACTTTGAATGTATGAGTTATATATATTTAGAAGAATATATATATATTTTTATAAATTTATTTTTAATATTTATATTTTTATTGATTGCACAGTATTGTGCTTTGGGAGGTTCACTGTGAAACATACATTGTATGGGTGAAATTCACTGAAGCTTGGGAAATGACACCTGCCCACTATTTTTCCCAGAAACCTTTCAAAGATGCATTGTAAATCCTTTCTTATCCTCATACGTCTCTAGGAGACCCTGTTTTGTGAAAGTCTTTTGCACCTGACCTCATTTGGTTTATAGGCTGTTGCAGCTAGAGCGTAAGGCGAGTGCTTCTATGCTAGCAGAATCTACCATCTGAGAGTCAGTGTTCTTATAGTTCATTTTTATGGTGCTACTTTTGCATTATTTTAATATTATAAAAGCCTAAGACTGTCTGTGTGTCCGTAATGTTTTATTCGCACTCTGATTGACTGAAGGAAATGGCCAATCAGTGGGCTCCAAGCGTGGGGGAGCGCTGCCATGATTCTGAAGCCATGCCGAGGACCGGAAAGGGGGTGGGGGAGCCGAGGCCAGCAGCGCTGCCTTGGCTTCCCCACCCTGCTCCCTGCAAGAGGCAGAACAGCAGCAGCATGGGGCGTTAGGTGGCAGCACTCCATCCCAGCCCCCATCATTCTTGCGGGCAGTTAGCTCGTATTAGAAATAAATAAATTAGCCGATGTGATATTTGGCCATCCACAACATTATGTAAAACAATAGTGAGTGTATGAGGAAGTCTTGGTTCCTAAGAAGGAAGAGGTGTCAGGCCAGCCCCAGCAGTTACGGTAAGGAAAGAACATTGAATTGCACGTTTTGTTCTGAAAAAAGTAAGATCCTGATTTATGGGGAAATTCTGTAGCCTTCAGTATTTATTGTCAGAATCTTGGACACAGTTTAACTAATGCCCCTGCCTACTAGTATTATAATGTAAGTGACTGTCCCAAGCATTTTAGGTTCTGCATCCAGTGTGTAGAAATATTCACAAGTAAACTTAATTTTGAGATCTAAGGGGAATGGCATTATACTAATTCTGATACTCACAGATATTGGCTGAGATTTTCAGATGATGGCTTCTTTGTTGTGTATAACTTAAGTCCAAAATTAATCATGCGTGTAGATGCCTCATTAGCTATTCAGTGGCAGAAGGTAGACCAGGGTGACACCTTGAGCAGTGGTTCTCATCTGGGGGTATCTTCAGGGTGCTTCCCTTGCATCTCATGCAATACCAGATCAGAAAGCAGCTGCGGTAGGTGCATGGGTTTCTTATCTGATAAACCTAGTGCTGGCAGGAACACCTGCTGCAGCCCTTCCTGGTCTAATCGCCTCATACTCCTTCCTGCGTGCCTTTGTTTTGGGGTAGTTTCATTTGGGAGCAGTGAAGAAACACAGGAAACATATCGGTGGTGCAGTGTCTTGGTTGATAATGGTAAAGCTGAAACAGTGCAATGGTTGTTCTTAACGGGTGCTGCCAAATTCAGAAAAGTTATGGAGCAGTTTCCCGAATCTAAAAAAGTTGAGAACCACTGGCTTAGAGACTGCTTGGTTCAGAAAGGCACGAGCTTTCATAGGCAACAGCCTAATTCAGCATCTTGATAAACATGCTGAATAGGTTATTGCCTATGAAAGCTTGTGGCCTTCTGAACCAGTTAGTCTTTAACACCTGTCCTTGGTCTTATGTTCATACCAGGAGAAAACCTTTCTCCCAGCACAAAAAGAGGATAGAGCTGTTCATGGGATTTCTTGCAGAGAAGTGGCTTTTTCCCAAGAAACTTAGATTAATTGCTACAAGGAAGATCTCCCCCCTCCTACGCTGACTTGAATGGCTGTATGCTTCTCTCAGATGTTGAGGAGGCTTTCTCTCCATCTCTCCCTTGCCCAGGAGGGAGCCCTGTTGGGGACCCTGCCATAGAATTCCCCCCATGTCCCGTGACTGGGGGCCATTCTCCTGTGGTGGTACCCATCCCGTAGCCTCAGGAAGGTTGCCTGCAGGGAGAATGGCTCCTTTGCACTCTTCTGGGTCAACCTGGAGGAGTTACAGGGTCCAGAGGCAGCTGCAGTGCAGTAAGGCTCTGGGAGCTTTTCCCTGTGGAAGAATGCTCTCCCCTCCTTGCCCCTCAAACTCCTCTTGGTAGACCTGGAGGGGAGCATGAAGTGTGGCAGGAGCCAGGAGAGTTCCTACAGGAGAAGCCCCCCCTGTCCTGCCAGCCAGCTGATTAGTGAAATTGGGGGAAGGAGGCAGGGCATTTTCCTGTGGTGAGAACCCTCCTGGGGGTGTCTGTGACAGCTTTGTCCTTCACAGGCAGGGCAGAGGGCAGGCTGCCAATCAGTGGGCACTGTTAAGGGTAGGCGTGAGCCAAGCAAAAGCTCATCTGCGAGGCTCTTCAGCCAGGGGGCTGGAATACATGTCTGCTCCGGCTCTCAGGCCATTATTCTGGTGGTAGATATTTCACAGAAATTCACACCGTTAGAAATAAAGGTGTCACCTTGGACTAATCTGAAGCCAGGCAGAAAAATAGAGCAACTAACCATTTTGCTATTCTCTTAATAAGATACTGAGTCATATAAAATAATAAAATATACATCTGCATTTAACTTGGACACAAAATTATTGTCTCATAATGAAGGTAGGCTGAGACATGAAATTTAAATGAAAATAGAATTCACTGGGGTGTAGGTTGTAGCCATGTTGGTCTAAGGACATAGGCAGACAAGGTTCCTTGGGTGAATCTGATATCTTTTATTAGACCAACTGGCATTCACTGGCATTCTGTTAAGCAAGACGTCTTCTTTTCATGATCAAAGAAAATTTAAGGCCCTGATCATTTAAAACTTAGTTGCAGGAGTAGTTTTATACATATGAGTAATTCCACAGAACTATTTGAATATCTAAGGCTTTTTACCTGCATATGTGTCTACAGGATTGCAGTCATAGTCTCTAGAAAAATATCTAGATATGAAAATGGCATTTTATGAATTTCCACTTTGCATAGTTCACTGATTGTAATCTCCATACACTGCCGCAAAGTGGGAAGTATTTTGCCATCTGTTGTCATCTGAATGATATAGTTGTTCCCTGTATTAGTTAAGTCATAACTGAACTTTTTTTTTTGTTTAGGCTTGTGTAGAGGGAATAGTAGAAAGGAGGAGGAAGAGAATAGGTTCAGGAAGGATTTATTTGTTATGTCAGTGGAGCTTGCTCTTGGGTATGCATGATCAGCTTATTTCCAAAACTGATTTTACATATGCCCATGGCATAGGATGGGTGTATTCTAAAAATACAGCCATCCTACTCTGTGGGCATGTTTGTTCTAGCAGTTGTGTTCAAAAGGACCTTAATTACCTGGTTTACTATGATAATGGAGTATTAGGCTAATCCTAACTCTTGAGAAATATCAAAGGTTATTGTTGTTACTAATGGGAAGTTTAATTTTATTTAAAAAGTGGTTTAAATAATAGGTACATAAGGATTGAAGGAAAAGACATTTTTGCTTTCATTGATGTTTTCCTGTATATTTTTGTGAATTTGAGTTATGTACAAGTCATCCATTGCAAATTTGTGTAGTTTCTCTCTGACCAAACAAGACAGTTCAGTGAAAACAAAAGAACACTATGATAATGTAAATTAAATTAATTTTTAGTTTGTTGAAGAGCACAAGAGCTAAATTCTGTGTTCATTGTTATTCTGGTGGAGTAACTTCAATGGTATTTAATTCCATCTGTCTAAGAATTTGTCCGTCATGATTTTTTAGTTCTTCTTACTGGATAATTATATATTAAAATATGCATCTGTATTTTAGCATTTGCGTACACTGAAGGTTCCTGGCAAACTGATGTCAGCCCTGTCCTGGGAAGGAGGCGGATTGAAGATTGGATTAGCTGTTGATTCTTACATATATTTTGCAAACATTCGGCCAGATTACAAGGTAGGTAGTGATGTAGTACTTGAGTCACTGGAGGTAAATATAGTTATTAGCTGAAAAATAGTACTGTAAAAATGGTGTAAAATAATTTTTATTACAGTTTGCCTAATAGAGCTAGCTGAGGTCTCTTCTGTGTATCACTAATAAAACAATTGAGTGTTGATGTATTTGATTTTGTTGAAAGCAAAAAGACACGGCTTAATTTTTAGGTATTAGATTGAATTTGGTGTACTGCCTGAAAAGGTTTGCTTTCTAAACTGAGCAGATGTGAAATGGAAGAAAAAAATGCCAAAAATTATGTTATCGTTTCTATTAGCACTTTTTCCTAACCATTACAGGATCTGGGCAGGAAGTTATTCTTCTGTCCTGTGAGAATTAAGGTCTCTTATGTCCTACATAAGTACCAAAATTACTGCATTGGATTTTTCATTCTTGTTGAAGCTATTCCACCTGGTGTAAATGATTAAATATTTATTGGAGCAGGGTTTTGAACCTGGGGCAGTTACCTCCCTGCATGACCGAAATACTAAGCTACAACATCTCTCTCGCTGGCCACTGTACAAAATAACAGCCTCAGCTGGAGAGATTGAGCCCCCCGCCACTTCCAGAATAACCTAAAGCTTTCTGGTTGTTACTCACCTGCTGCGGGTCCTAATCACCAGGCTATTCTGGTAAGATGGCACTGTTTCCTTCTCTCACCAGAAATTCCAGAAACAGTTCTTGTTAAATTTGTCATGTTTCCAATAAAAGTTTTGATGTCAGAAAATCAGTATTTTCTGATTAAAACCCAGTTCATTACAAAAAAGTGCTGACCGAACTAAGGGCAGATTTCTGTTCTGTTTACTGACTAACTCTGAGTTACCTGACCAAAATGTAGGAGTGATTCTGTTACCTACCGTGGGTGTGTAAATGCCTGTATTATAGAAAGAAGATCACCTCTGGAGATGTGCCTGTATTCCTTTTATGGTGCACTTGTACCATATGATATTGAGTGTAAAGATTTGCCCACCTGGAGAAAGTAGCAGAATCTTCTCTGCTTTAGTTGGGTAACTCAGTTGGTCACAAAGCTACATTTAGTCATCCCCTAGTTGAAAAAGAATTCTCCCCCTAGTCATTATGTAAATGTCTTAAAATGCAGTAATTTGGCTTCTGTACAAGTTAATTTTTTCCCTGTCCACTAATCTGGAATCTACTGATGTTGTAATTGATACTTCAGTCAGTGCTTGCTAATGAGAGGCAGGAAATTTCCAAAGGGAGTTGAAGCTTAAGCTGTCACTTTATGAAAAATCCAAGCTTCTGGGTTTTTTTTTTTTTTATGTTTAACCTCTATTTACACTGAAATATTGGACATGTGGTTTTCCACTTGAAGGATCAGCAGTGTAAACTGTTGGTTAGGCAGTCATCCAGTGTTTCATTGCTAGATGATTAGCCCCTGCCAGGGCTAACTGACACTCTGATAGTCGCCCAAGCCTTATTTACACTACCGTTTCCACCCTTGGTACCACTTTTGAAACTGCACAGAATGAATTATGGGTCTCTGCCAGCATAGTGCGGCCTCTGTTAGTCTGCAGAAAGACAACCTGAAATAGTAGAGAAAGATGCAAGCTGGTATGTAAAAGTCATCCCTAATGTTCATATCGGCACAGTTTTAAATCTGGCTTAAACTGATGTTCTCCTTTTTCCTGTTACAATTTTGAAAGCTTGCGACCAGTTACTGGGCTGGCTTATTCAAGCAATGGTTTGTGTTTCTCTACCATGTGGTAAAACTCTTATTAGTAACTATAACAATTAAGAGTATTTCCCCTTGTCAGACCTTAGGTAACCCAGGCTAATCTTTTTTAAAAGCTGGGGTTTTTTAATTTGTTTTCGGGGGTTTTTTAAATCTAGACGGGGCATCTGTCCTTATGTACCCAGTTTAATTACAGAAGGTGATCATGTGGCTGCCTACAAATTCATTGGGGGCAGAGGGTGGGGGAGGTGGGAGGAGAGGGGGCAGCAAGGAATAGGAGATGCTCTGTCTACCAGGGCACCTCTTGGAGTAATTAGGAACAATGACCACAAACTGACGGAGAGCAGATTTAGGTTAGGCATTAGGAGGAACTTCTTTATGGGAATGATTGCCAGAATCTGGAATGGGCTTCCAAGGGAGGTGGTGCTGTCCCCTACCCTGGAGGGGGCTAGACATACACATGGCTGGGGTTGTCTGAGCCCAGTGCTTTTTTCTGCCCAGGGCAGGGGGTTGGGCTCAATGATCTGCTAAGGTGCCTTCCAACCCAGATATCTATGAATCTATAATTTTCCTGCCTCCCATCTCTCTCTGCAGTAGGGCATTCCAGAGAACATCATTCTACATGTTTCTGATGCGTTTCATTTGGTAGTCTCATTTCTACTGAGACAGAGTGAGAGATCTGCATACATTTTCTCAGAATAATTGATTAAATATTGTTGAGCAAAGAACATAAACTTAGTTTAATGGTAAAAATGCTACTACTTGAACACAATCTGAACTTTTACCTGGAACTGGTTATAAAAACACAGATAAAATTGTAGTGTGGTGCCAGTCTTAGCTGTACCTAGTAGCTTCTATATAGACTAAAACTCTGTCTGGCATGTTCCAAATGCCCTAAACTTTCTGAAGTCTGAGTCCACTTCTAGCACTTGTGGCAAATAGGATAAATCTCTTTTGTGAGTGTTTTGGATGATGTGTAAA